TTTCTTTTCTTTTCTTTTCTTTTCTTTTCTTTTCTTTTCTTTTCTTTCTTTTCTTTTCTTTCTTTTTCGCCCTCCCCGCCTTTCCCTTCATTTTATCTTGTATATTCTTTTGTTTTCATTCCTTTGCTGCCTGGAAAGTAAATAAAAGCTTCTGTTTGTCGAATGCAAGCAATGGAGGACATAACAATGCACAGCACAAAAAAAGCGCAACAATCACGGGTTAATTTTTTTGTGTCCTCGGGGTGTGCTTTCAGGTCATAATCACAGAAACAGAAAAGCTTGCAATGCACAAAACATATAAAGGAGTGCAGCGCTATACTAAAATACTACAACTGTATGTATGTATGTATTTATTAGGGATGTTTCGAATGTCATATGTTTCACATTCGCGAATGCGAATTTTCGGAACATTAAAAAAGCTATAACCATCTAAGTCATCGTGAACGAGTGATTTTTCTGCCTTTTCTCCCATGAGGCGATTGGTTAGAGGCTCGTATATATGGCCAGATTTGTCAATTTGTCGTATTTTAGTATAGTTCAATTGAATTGAATTGAATCTTAAATTATTTCTAGGTTGCTTATAATACTTTTAGCAGTACTTGTTAGCACCCTGGTTAGATAGACTTAGAGCCATTTCAACAATATTAAAGTGGACTCTCTGCCCATGTACGAATGTGTAAAATGATGCGAATGCAAATATTCGCAACATCCCTGGTATGTATGTATGTATATGGAGGAAAATTCGCTGCTGTGGGAATTTGAGTCCCTCCTCTGTTTACGTTTTTATTTTACTAAATATATTCAGTCGTTTTATATTTTTTCACACATTTGCTCGCTGTTGAAGGCGTGACGTTGGCGCATTCGATGCATCAAAATTTTTGTACATACATACAAATATGTATTGTATATTTTTCTCTCGTATCTACACGTTGCTTTTATGTGTGCATTTTATGGCATCAATGTATGTCAAATTGTGCAAGTATCTAAGCACATTCACGTCTACACATTGGCAGGCTCGCAAGTTGATGTGTTTGTGCGCTCGAGTTCAAGTGCTCGTGTGTGCTGCCAATCAGCTTAACCTGCCTTAGAGGCTTTGAGAAGTCAATCAAGCGTGTCCTTTGCCTACTTTTATTTAACTTTTTTTTCTAATATATATTTTTCCTGAGCGCAAATGTTTGTGTGTCGATAATACTCGCATCTTTAGCTTAATAGACATGTCGACGCATATCAGTTGAATATGCACTGTGAGAAAAATTTGAAGCTTACGAATCTCGGGGTGAAGCTCCCATAAATATGGAACGTTTAATTTGATCCTAGGTGGTTATATCTTGGTATATTTAAACGCTGAATGGTAGAAATTATAAATACATTTCTGGTTATTAAAAACATGTCCTAAACTAAAATTGCCATTTCCATTTTAAGATGTTTTTAATTAGTAAAAAATGTTATGTCCAGATATAATGCCCAGTATAAATGCCAAGTAAGTCCAATTTTTCAATAAGCAGAAAATTATGTCCACCTTTTAATTACAAAATGAATGTCTAGTTTTTTAATATTTAATATTCGCTGTTCCACAAATTTTTACACAATTACATGAATTTTTTTTTATTGATATTGCAGGAAATTGCTTCCTACCAGCACTTCAAGGAAATTAAAAACTTGCAGTAGGAAAGTTGGTGAGTAGGAAATTAAAAAAAAATATATAAATCCCACTTTTCATAAATTTTAGTTTTATTTCATTGTCAGAAGTAAATGTGTTTTATTTTATTTATTTTATTTTTTCTTGCTATCAGCGACTTCTTCAATTCCGAAATTCCGAAATTGTTTGTTTTGATTCAAGTAAGGGACACAGATGTTTTTTTCTCACACAGAGAAAAAATTTACCATGTCGTGTTTATTTCCAATAAAAGCATATAATTTGGCGCCCAGCGGTATTTTGTATACCTTAAGCATATTCTTCTTTAGAAAGGTAGTGTCTCCGAGGTGGTCCCATACTAATTTGGTTTAGATCCGATCATTGGACATTGAAGAAATTAACGGTAATCCTAAATTTTTATATGAGAATTGAAGTCGGTTGTGTTTTTTTTGCGTTAAAATTACTTGTTTTCAATACTCTTTCGTTCTGAACTTCATATCATAAATCAAACAAAAATTAAAAATTATTTGTCGAGTCAGACAGTATTCGAACGCAATACCTTCTGGAAGCTAACAAATAATAGCAAGCATCCCAGTGAACTCAGTCAGCTACAGCCAGAACATGTATGTTCAGTTTGAACCGAATTTCTTACAATCGTTCAATCTAATAACATAACATAACATAACATAAAGCAATCGAAATATCCTCTGTTGGAGAAACTCATTATATTTTTTTCTTATTGTAGGCTATGGTAGAATTTGAATTAATTCGTGATTTTACGATTCCTTTCTAAGTTTTTCAAAATTTCTCGGTAGTTAGTTTTGGGATTGTCTTTGATTGTTTTGGATAAGGAAAAACTTGATCAATAATATTTTGAGTAAGAAAGTCCAAAAATTTTACCGCTTTTATATTTAGTCATTGATAAGAAAATGACATGGTTTGAGATTTTTAAGAATTTTTGCGAGAATTTCTCGGAACTTTTCAGGATTTATCACATTTAGTTATTTATTAAAAAACAAATCGGTTTAAAAAGCTGAAAGCCTGTATTCGGTCAATAAAGCGCCATATCTTCCATAATACTCCATCAAATTGAATGACTGAAAGGACAGCTTCACTGGTTGAGGTAAAAAATAAAAACATTTTAGCAGGGTTGCCACCCGCTTAAAATTTTACCAACTTAAATATATATTGAGTAAAATATTGCGACGCATCCAGGGAATGAAATGCCTTTAAACGCACTATTAACCAAAAGTAATAGCTTTGAAGAGGGTTGCCAACTATTTAAAAATTTCAATATCTATATATATGTATGTATAAAGCAAAGTTGCTTACTTAATACCGAACATAGCTCTGGAATGGATTGTCCTAAAGCTGTATTTTTTGTTGTGTTTGTCTCCGGAAAAATTCACTTGCCATAGATTTTGTACTAGACATGTTTTTATTCCCTAATTTTGATCGTAATATTACGATTGAAACGATTGCACAGGTTCAAAATTGTATCAATTCTAAACAATTATATCGGTTAGGTTACGTTACAGTGTGTTGTAAATTATTACCGTTTTCATTTACAGTTGCCGGATTTGAAAAATGTATATATTAAAAATACAAAATCAGCCTCATCATGAGTTTATTTTCCTTTTGCAATTTACAAAGATTGGCGATTAGCAGTGCAAATCAAAACCCTCAGCAACGCGCCCACTTTAATGAACATATTTGAACGAATGTGTCGCAAATTCATGCAGGACCGCCTCAGGAGGAACCAGCTCTTTAATAACTGATACGAAAGCGAAAACCCGATCTGCATCATACAGTGAAGTACCGTGAATATCCAATTACTTCGAAATGTCGTACAATTGAGTATATTGAACTTAACTTCTGCAGGGGTAAAATTCAACCATTACCATCATAATCCATGAGCTCATTGCTTTATGGCGAATTACAAGAATAAAGACAATTCTTGATGAATACCCACAAATGCGATGAGTTAAAAGATTTCAGCTCAAATAAGTCTGTATATACTGGACTATGCCATACAGATGCACCATTGAACCAAGACCAAAATTGCAAGACCTTCATCACGGACACCACGCTTTGATTAGGTTATTTAAAATGGCAATGGAAGATATGCCTTCTGACGACCACACAAACCATAATCAGAGCAGATAAATGTGCCACTGGAAGTCGTTAAGTGAATAGTTGGTGAATGTGTTGTACCAAAATGTTCCAACAAAAAATTAGTTTTGGGCGAGACGAAGTTCGCCGGGTACGCTAGTGAAATATAATATGGAAATTGCCAATTTATCACTTTAAAGATATGAAATGAGTAATATACTCTTTAGCTTTTGCTTCTTTCCATTTTACATGCGAATAAGCGATTTTCATGTCTTACAGAAAAAAATCTACTTCCCAAACCTTCCTTTATACTCCACGCGCAAAGTCATAAAAATGTTCAATCCCTTGCGGCGACAGTGGTCGTCATAATTCTCTAGCTTATTATAATACACGTGCTTCTCCATTTTGCCGCGCTAAGCAAGTGAAACAAAAACAAAGAAATAAAAGAAAAATATAGTAAAAAGGAGAACGAAAACAACGAAGTAGAGCAGTAACATTGGCGCTTGGTGATATATGGAAAAATATGTACATACTACTTAGGTACATATTGATACGTGTTTAAGAATTACTTATGTGAAAAACATGGAAAAGTAAAAAAAATTGAAGAATTTTTTTAATGTAAAAATTAAATTTTTTTTATTAACCATAAATATATATAAAGTAAAAAATTAAAAAATAGTAGAGTTTTTATGAATAATTGCATTTGCAGTAAAAAAAACAATACAAATTAAAGAATTTTTTTATAAAAAACAAAATTAAAAAAAAACAAACACCATTTTGTACGTTTGTATTCAAAAAATAAATAAAATCATAAAAAAATAAAATAATAAAAAATATTATTTTTCTTCGCAGTCGGTAGGATTCGAACCTACGCTCCCAGAGGGAATCTGATTTCTAGTCAGACGCCTTAACCGCTCGGCCACGACTGCGTTAAAACGGATTAACGGCGAGATCATGTGCTCAAGTCCACCGGCTAAAAAATTTTACTTTTTGTTTTATTTTTTGTTATTGCAGATTTTTTTAATCAAAACCAAACTCTACAAAATTAAATTAACTTAAAAAAGTTAAATCAAATAAACAGCAACAAACAACAAACAAAGTAAAATAAAATTAAAAAATAAGTAATATTTAAAAATAATTTTTTTTTGGAAACTGACCGAAATGGGTATCGAACCTGGGTGCTACCGCATTCAAGTGCACAGCCCTTATTTTTAGTTCACAATAGACAACAGCTGACCTTTTTGGTCAGTATTGTCATCGATAGTGCCGCTGATCCGCATTAAGGTTGAGAATTAACTCTAGCACTTTGTCCGGACCAACTGCAGATAATTCCCGAGATAATTCCGAATTAACGAGTTGATCCGGATCAACGCTGTCATCTGTCTAAATATGCCTTTAGCAGTGAAGTGAAGTATATAAAGAAACGAGAGACTGTAGATAAAAGCAAATTTTATTTCGATTCATCTTGACTTATAGAAAATTTCCGAGACTTTTGGCATTTCTTCAGTACATTTAGAAATTCTTAGAGTTTAATTTCTTGGGATTTTCCATGTTTTATTATTCGAAATTTTGTGACATTTCGGGATTTTTCGTGCGTTCTCGAAAATTTCCGAAAACTTGTATGATATTTTAGAGCATCTTTGTGCTTTGTTATCCGTGATTTTTTTGGATTATCGGTACTATTCAGGACACTTCGCAACTTTTTCAAATTGTTTGAAAATAATTCGGGTTCTTTAGAACGTTTCAAGATTGTTTTGTGTGTTTTTTCAGCAATGAGTTTTCGAAAACTTCTAGAATATTATATATTATTTTTTGTTATATTTTTTGGGATTTTCAGAAATTTTGTGAAAATTTCCGGACTCTTTGCGAGCCTTCGCGTATTTTTGGAAGTATTCCATAATTTTTGGGGTATTTTTGTTAATTTTTTTAGAGTAAAGAGAGCAGTATTTTGGAAATTCGGGGTTCTTTGTGTCTTTTCGGAATTTTTTATGACTTTTTTAGACCTTTTACGAACTTTTCTGAATTTTCGGTTTTGTTTAAGAATTCTATGTTTTTTTCATGACTTTAAGGGATTCCTTGGGAATGTTTTTGAGACTTTTCTGGAACAGTCAAGCGCAAAAGTAAATTTCAAGCTTATGCTTGCTTTTGATGAGTGTTATAAAAATAAAAATAAAAATAAAAAAATATTAAGTTATTTGCTGTTAAAAAGGTATAAAAGCCTACCCTTTATTTCTGCCTTAAGAGAAAGAGAGATTTTCTTGTTCAAAATGTTGAAATGCTAAGATTAATTAAATGCTAATTTTATTAAGTCTCTTCTCGGTACAGTACCTACATATAAAAAATTGTTTGCGATATTTTCGGGTATTTTTTAGAAATCTTGAAAACTGTGTTAGTGCCCCTTCGGGGTCATTTTCGGGATTTGTTGGGATTTTTCGGGTCTTTCGTGTTGTACAAAGTATTCTAATTTTTTTTCTGAATTTCAATGGGATTTGTCGGTAAATTTCAACAGTTTCCAAATTTTTTTTTCTAAACCTTTCGGCATTTTTTCATAAAATATTGGAATTCTCCGTAATCTTCGTGTTTTATTCGAGGTTCTCACGTTAATTTACATATTTAAACCTAAATTTTGCTCTCGGTGAATGCCCAACATATGGAGAGCAAACGCTTCGGTTTATTTCGACGTCAAAAAATATCAGAAGAAAAAATGTTTTTTTTTATTTTTGTCATAAAAATAAAGACGATTACAGATTCTGTAGAATGGAACCCAAACTATCGAAAAAATTTCGCTTACGTTATTTTCTCGGTTGCGGTTCAATATGAATATCACTTTTTTTTAATAGTTAAGTAGGTAAGTGGCATATTTTTTTAATCCAGTTTGCAACATGTTATTGCAATATGAAATTTACACAAATTGTCAGCATCAGGAAG